TAACCCCTCCACCGCCTGTTGGTCTGTCTGAATGGATTGAGCAGAAGTTGACAAAGAGCGATCGACCAGAGCTTACTAGTGCGAAAGTGGTTGTGTCTGGTGGTAAGTAGATAATATGAAAACTGTGTTATGTTGCATTTAAATAATGGTACATCTTGATTAAATAATCTGAGGCAGAACACTGTAATGTCATATGTTAATAAAAATATAAATATTTATGATGTAGTTCTTGCACGGAGGCCAGTGGGAACACACCCAACATGTATGTTTTGTGAAGAGGCAAAGCATGAGTTTAACATACGCTTGTAGGCTTTTTAAGAACACTGTCATGTTTGGCGAGTCCCTCTTAAAATTACAGCGATATGAAGTGGTTTTAGTTCCAAATCTGTCATGTTTAAAATTGTTGCTAATTGTTAGAGACATTCCAAACATTATTATCTAATGGCTCTAACGATTTTAAAATCGTTATGTTTGTATTCTACTCTGCAGGTATAAAGGGCTAGACTCTGGGTTTTTTTGGTTTTTGGATTTATTTTATTTTTTTTTTTTTTTATTGTATGCCCAGGGCTAAAAAAGTATTCTATAGTTATTATCCCACTACAGAGTTTTGAACCTAGAGCCAGCAGAGGGAGCACAGATTAGTGAAAAAAATACTGTTTCTTTGATTTCAGAGAATGGTCTTGATGGTGCTGTGTGCAGGAAATAAACCAGACAGTGGTGTTGGCTTATACATATGAAGTAATAATACTAATCACAAAGACAAAAGGTGATTCTCCAAATATAAAATACTATTTAGTAATGTATCGAAAAATACCCTATGCAAGTGTATATTTGTGCCTTTGCTAATGCAAGTATTCATGGAGAAAGTTTTCATAGACAATAAAAAAAATTTTAAAGTATATCATATTTTTCTTTCTTCATATTTTCATTAACTTTTTAGGGAGAGGCTTGAAGAGCAGTGAAAACTTTAAGTTGTTGTATGATCTTGCGGATCAATTGAATGCTGCAGGTAAACTTGTTTTCCTCCTTTTTTTAACCCTGGTTGTATTTAAAAAGGTCACATGAAAGCCAGTTTTCATATTGAGGTCTTTTATTTTCACATCTCAAAAAAAATTTAAAATCCCGTTAGTTTAACCATAGGTAAAGCTTTGTCTTCTGGTGGTCAACTGTGTATTTAAGTGCTTTTGTATGAAGCAAAAAACTAAACTGTAAGGTGCCCTGTCCTTTGCAAAATCAGCGAGTGAAGTTGTATAAATTAAAAAATGGTCTTAGCTCACTTGGAAGAGGTGATACTTTCTTCATACATCCTTACATCCTGCTCCTTTATAGACTGCCTTTCCCAGCTCTTGTACTTGGAGTGGCTCTGTCTTTGCTATGCTTCTGTATCAACAGGAGAAAACTGACCCTGTACAGTGTTTCAGCAAAATAATTTAACTAAAGGTTGGGGGAGGAGGAAGAACTGTTTGCATTAACACTTAAACTACATTAGTTTTAGATCTCACATGTAAAAATAAATTTATAGTTCTACATGAATAGCTTTGTAAATTGGTGGCTTCACTAACTAATGTCTGTGTGGCATTTTCAAGTTTCCTTTGATGTTTTTCTTTACTGTGTCTGACTTTTGAGCTTTGCAGCAAAGTGAGATGGTACATGTGTTCTATTCAAACTTGGGGGAACATTATGGGAAGGCATTTATGGGAAAATCCTCTTTTGACAAAGCAACAAGAGAAAAAAATGGAAATATGCCAGACTGAAATCCTTGGTTTTAAATATATGGCCCTTCAGTACTGGGAGTAAGGATTTCCTGTTGCTTATGAAGTGCATTAGCACTTAGTATTTGGAAGTTTCAGCCAGTGGTATAGAGGGGGATTACTATGAGAGCTTTTAAGAGGGAAGTTTCTAAATGCATGCCCTTTGAGTGTGGGACTCTTCAGTAAAATACATGTGCTTTTATGGTGATAGAAATTTGGCTCGCTAATATTTTAAAAGAAAACATTGGGAATATTTTCTTTCAACTAGTTGGAGCTTCCCGTGCAGCTGTTGATGCTGGCTTTGTTCCTAATGACATGCAAGTTGGACAGACGGGCAAAATAGTAGCACCAGTAAGTATAGAAATCTCTTTTGTGAAAGAGCTGGGGTGTTTTCTAGCGTGCATCTTCCTTCAGAGCAAATGCTTAAAAATGAGACAAGCCTTAATACTGAGCCGAGCGGGAACATTTTGGTGCGCTTGTTGCGATACTGTCCCTTGACTGCACCTTTGCAAAACTACAGCAGCAAGCTGTGATGTGAATCTCTCCTGTGGGTCAGTCAGGAAGTGTTCTACAGAGTTTTGCTGGAGGTTGTGCATGCTGGATTCTTTCATAGTTGCCTGTGCTGAGCCTTTTTTTAAGTTTCTCGCAACTCTCACTGATATGCTAGAACACGTCATTGCCAACGTAAACTTGAAATTACCTTGGTATGTGGCTTGATCTCTGGTTTTGTTTTCATTTACAGGTGATGATTTATTGTTTGAAGTTTGGTAGCCATAGCTGGGTTATTGCCATACATTCTAAGCAAAACTTTTTGTAAGAGATGGAAGTGCAAGAAACTTGAGAGAAATAACCTACAGTTTGGCTGCTGTAAAGTGAAATATGAAGAAGGGCATATTCTAATGAGCAGCTTACTGCTGGGAAATAACTTGCTGCACATCTTTTCTGCTATGCATCCTGATACCATGGGGCTGATTCTGATCCCTGCATCTTTTGGATCTAGGGTTGGCTTTTCTGTCATGTCTGTGACTACTTTCATTGTTCTTGTGACCTGGGTCAACAGATAAAGCACGCTTGAGCATTTGTATGTGGGAAGGTACAAATGTAGCTCATCCTAGTGTGGGGTAGAATGTGTGCTAGCACATACTGAGATGCAGTGATCATGGACGTAAGTAGGGAATCATGGCTAAGAACGTGGGCAGGTACGTTGATCTGTCAGATGTACGCTTTGAGCTGCATAACCGAGTAAGCATTTAGCCTTTCAGTCTTCTTTGAGGGTGTATGGCAACAGAAGGCACCAAGGAGCAACTTTTTACTTGTTAATGGTTTAATGAGACCAGAAATGGAGTGAGCTGGAACTTAGTAGAGAAACTTGTCATATTTCAACTGCTGCGTTTACCAAATCCCAGTAATATAAATAATACTAAAAAGCTGTACATGTCCAAAGCCTAGATAGGATCTGAAATATTTTGCCTTTGTACCATTAAGAGCTGTAAATTCAACAACCTCAAACCATGACTGTTACTTTTCCAGTAATGCATCTAATAGGGTAGAGCAGTACTTGAAGTTATCAAAGACATGAGCCTGCAGTTTCTGCAGTCTATCGTCAGTTCTGCTTGCTGGGGTGTCTTGAACAAGACACTTTGTGCTTCAGAGTTTTTCTGTCTTGAAATGGGGATGGTGATGTTTGCTGCTTGGTCCTCATCAGAGGCCATCTGATGATAGCCCGGCAGGGCTAGGTGGAGCTATTTTTAGGCAAACTAGTGTTTAACCTGTAAATCTACATGATAACCAACTGCTACAAAAACCAGCTTCCGAGAAATGGAACTGTTGGTAAGACTTAGGGTCCATTTGGTTGCATATTGTGTCCTCCCAGAATCTTGATAGCAGTGATTTTAACCTCAGCTCTGGAAGGAAATTGTGAGGCTTTGCGGATGATAAATACAACCCTAACTCACTCTTCTGGAGATGTCTGTCTTGGCAGCATAGTATGTAATTGTTTTGCCTTTTTTTTGGGGGGGGGGGGGTTGACATTGTGCAAGACAGCTGTAGCCCCCAGCTGGTACATTCCCTTTGCTAAGGGAATATTTGTATTTAAATACAGTGCAATTTCTTTTGCTCATGCAGTAGGCATAAAGTTCAACGTATTGCAGCTGTAGGTCTCAGCAAGCTAATCAACACCAACTCAGTGAGTGTAACTGTAGCACACATGGAATTTGCAGGTCCCCAAGGCGGAAGAGCTGGTTGTCACAATGAGGCAATCTTTAGTTGGTTGCTGCGTACCCAAACCTCTGAAAACCAGGTACTAAGCTATGTGTCATTAAACTGCATATTTTGAAAGGGCATGAGGTGAGACTGACCATCTTAGTTCTTCATTACCCGAATATCCGTTAATGAAATGGAGGATGCTGATTTGAAGACAGCTCATCTCTGGTTTGTGTGTCTTGAGGCTTAACAATGAACACTCCAGAGTCAAGGGCATATAAACAATTGCATTGAAACAAAAAAGCGAGTTTTTGATGAAGATAGAGTGCTATAACTTGCTACAGATGGCTGATGGCAACGTGTGAAAGTTATCAGAACATACAGCCACAACACAGGGTTACATCAGTGTCATCACTTCCATCTTCTAGAGAACAGTTAAAGTAGCCATGACTCAGGACTAACTAATGAAGGTTTAAACGATCCAGACTGGCACAGTTGCATGATGCTGTGTTGTTTTGCCAGCAGGTTGATGCGTTTCTCTCTCATGTCCCTCATTAACAAATATTAAGTAGTGGGTGATGCCGAGTACTGAAAACTGAGCCTCATCTTTCAGATTGTTCAAGTATTACTTCTGGATCCTATATGCAAGGACAGCATACAGTGGCTTAGAGGTATAGAAACTATCCTGTTACTTGTATTGCCAGTGTAAGTTGAATTGCTGGCTGGGTATTCAGTGTGCTGGGAGACGTATCTTAAATAGGAGGCAGTTTAAATTTGCGAATTCTTCACCTTCCTAATTCTGCTTCACTATCTTTTTGGTGCTTTAGCTAGAAAATTATTCTGTGTAGGGGAAGGTAAATTTCATATCAAGAGTAGAACTGAACTTTCTTGATCAGTTAATGAAAAGATTACACTTTTAATTACCAGTCCTCTGGCTATTTTAACAGTCCTGTAGAAGATGACTGCTATGAGGTATGCTTGGTCTAGGTCAGGGAGAGCTCATGATGTCTTACCTGGAAAATTGCAAAGCAGCTTTGTACGTTGGTTAGTTGTATTACTGAGATCTGAGTTTGGTGGTTAGTTTTGAAATGCAGTGGACCTGGTGCACACAATCCTGGCTGCCTGGGTTTTAATCAGGGGAAGGATCTTGGCTACAGGATCTTGGAGTTTGAGCCATACTTGCTCTCCTCTGCAGCTCTAGGTTTCTGATGGGAAAGAATCTTGGGGTATGTGCTTCCTTTTCTGTTAACAGTGTCTTGCCCGGTCTCAGTGGAGGGCTGGAACACATTGTTTTTAAAGGTCTCTGGAACTGGGTCATTTTGGAGACTACAAAGGGAGAAGAGTTAGTTACAGGCTTAGAAGAGGGGAGGTGCCTCTGCTGCTGCTTTTTGTGTACGGCTACTGGGGAGTGTTTCTGTGCTGAGCATTGGGTAAGAAGGTAACGATCTAGAAGATTTGCTTATTTCTTCCCTTGTGCCTTTGACTGTGGATTTGGTGAAGGAAGTGTCATTGGTCCTTCAGTAATTCTGTGACTGGCTTCAGATGTTAAGTATCCAGGACACAAGAACCTCACAGCCACGGCAGCTTCCCTGAAATGCTGATGCATTAATACATGAATAATCTGCCAGTCAAGAAACAGTGGTAGTTGATTTTGATTAAGTAATGAAGTAATGCAGTTAAGGAGTACAAATTTCACCTTTGAGAATTAGTTCTATGCAGTACCCCCCCACTTCCAAAATAGCCTTGGTTCTCTAAACTTCAAGCTCTTGTTCATGTTGGAATTTATGCATTTTGGGAGGAGTGGGGGGGATGGTGGTTGGTGTTTGAAAGGATCTTTGGTCATTTTTCTTTTGTATAATTTTATTCCAGCTGTTAAAATGTTTGACGTATTATTTGCTTTCCTTTAGCAGCTTTTTTTTTTACCTGTTGATTTTGGGTGATTGCAGCTCCTGTTTGAACATTCTGTCTTATGAGAGAGAAGGCTGATTTGTATTTTTTGAGGAGCTGGAAGGAAGGAAATTTTTAGGCATAAGTGGATATATTAAAATACAAAATGTTACCTTCCTAATTAAAAAAGTAATTTAGTGTATTCAATGTCTTTAATCAGTGACAACTGTTTTAGGAGCATATATTTTTAAATTAGAAGCTGGGGGGCGGGGGTTCCACTGTTTCTTACATGCAGGCTGCACAAAAATGAAATTCAGTTCTCAGATTAAGCACTGTATGTAGTTCTCAAACTTCAGTGTAAGGTTTCCTTCTCAAGGAGTATCTGTCCAGTGGGGAAAGGGCAGCCAGGCAGAACTCCTGTCTTGGTTTTTGTATTTTAGGTGTTCAGTTGCTGCTCTCTTGATACTTTCAACATCAGGCGCAAAATCCTACCAGGCAACAAGAAACTGAGATGCAAAGCTCAGGAAGGCAGAAGTTGGGAAATACATGATGTAGGAATAATTGACACTGGATTAGGTGATGGTGTTAGAAATGTGATATGATTGCACAGAAGGCAGATGCATTTGGATATTGCATGTGCTGAGAATCTTCATGTGGGGAAATCAGGTGGGAATTCAGTATAGATCTGATCACCAGGAGTAAACCTGCTGACCTGCTTGGGTTCAGTGCTAAAGCTTAGATTTCATACCAGAGGATCTGTCTGGATGCAGTGAGTTGCAGGAGCTTGAAAAGGGAGGCAGACTTGCAACTGTCAGGAACTGACAATAATAATGAGGGGAAAAGAGGCATGTTAAAGAGATGCAGCTTCAGTTGAGATGCTGAAGGGAGATGCTGGTTCAGTGGAAAGTCACCAAAGCCACGGAAGAATTAAGAACAACATAAGATATCGTATTAGGCAGAAAATACAGGAGTGGGATTAAATGAGAAGCAGGAAAAGGAAAGATGAATGGCAAGGAAGCATTTCTTGGCAGAGACAGAGATGAAGGTGCAGAGTGGTCTTCTACAGAACAGTGAAATTCCTGTTGCTTTACTTCTTTTACAAGAGGCTGGGATGCTTTCTAGGCTTGTGTATGCCCCAGTATTTTGCTAGGAAGCCTCTTTCACTGCAGTGAGTGGCTTTGTAGCAGCTAGTGGTCATCTTCTTGCTTTGGGAGTAGCAGGAAGAGAGCAAAACCATCACATTCTTTACTTTACACTTTCCT